AGAGGATTATGTATTTTTATAGTAGCATGTAGTATAAAGGGTGAAGTGAAAGAGTTTTTTGTCTTTTTTCTATTTGGATTCCTGGTAAGTGCCCATTAGCTCTTTCTTTTAACATGCATTAAATCTAACTAATGGATATCAAACCAGCTTAGAAAAATGGTAATTACAAAGCAGTTGTAACAAAGACTTTGGAAGCACAACTGCGCTGAGACATTGTCTGAATGCCTTAAAACCATGAAAGCCCCGACTTTATGGAGAAATGCAGTTGTGTGGATGGGAGAGCAGAGATTGCAGGCACAGTGATGGGAATCAGCAGATTTTGGCATGCTTTGGGAGCAGAAAGAATCACCCTGACTCTCACATTCCAGAGTGATTCTGGGGAGACATTTGTTTACGACTGCATTGCTCATATAGATACAGGGCAGCTGTCTTCCTTGTTTTCTTCCTTTTTTTTTTAATTTACAAACACACAGAGATCAAATGAGATACAGTGAACATAAAATCCTTTTTTAGTCTTTTACAAGCAGATGCAATTAATTTTAAGATCGATAAAACTGAAGATACTGGTAAAAACGATCTGTTTGCTTCCATCACCCTGCATTCTGCAAGGTATTACTTTGCCTACCCGGTAGAAAGCTTGATTAATCTAATGGGAATATTTTCCATTATGGGTGCTTTCAAGCATCTCTCTTGTTTCTTGTCTGTTGTTAGACTGAAACAAAAGTATCTCATTTGAAAAAATATTATCTGGAGATGGCAGTCTCTGGGAAATAAAAATGAATGTGTTGTGAAGTTCAGATTCTTGGGATCTTGCATTTTGTTGATAGATCTCCTTCATCGTGCCATACATTAATTTTAACTCAGGTGATATATGAACTTGGCACATTAGTTAATGAAAAGCTAATGCACAGTAATCTTGTCATCACTAGCTGTGCATGATAATTCAATCTGCTCCTCAGAAGAGCTGTTCAACATGCAACAAATTTGATTTAATAGTGACATGATGTACTAGGTTAGGTATTTCATTTAACATACCATGCGCCTGATTTGATGAGAAATGCTTCCCTTTCAACAGGTTATCTACCTGAGTTAGCAGGCCAGGCGTGGGGGTTAATGCAGTTACATCAAACACCGTCTGCCTTGGTGTTTGTTATTTGGTACACAGCACAGACTTGGGCACATTCTTGAGTTTTGGCACTTCATGCATTCATTTAATGTTGTCAGCTTGCTTGTAGGGAGGATGTAAGCATGTCTGCTCCTTCAGAGCCAAAATTAAAGCTGATAATTCTTCCACACACTGGAGGCATGAAGACCCTCTCTCCCCATTTGTACAGCTCTCTTTTGGCTCCATCAGGCCAATGTTCACTAGGGCCTGAAAGGGCTGATGCAGTGTCCCTGGTTTGTGGTAACTGCTGCCAGTCTCTACTTGGGCAGCATATTTAAAGGATATGTACTTAATGCTTTGATTTCTGCAAATGCACGCTCACACTCTACAGCTGGATCAAGCAGTCTGTACATTGCTTAGGATTTTTTTCATTTAAATCCTAACAATCTGAGCCTCAGTTCTCCAGTGTGTAGGAAATGTACGGTCTGCCACTGTTCGTTTGCCTCATTTGTGCAGTAATAGAGGCTGTCTATGAGAGTGTATTTCCTTTATTTTAATATAAAGTATATGAAGATATATCTCCATGCATAGGATATAGAAACACGTCATTATTTACTATAGAGTGGGTAAATCATCACCAACCACCTTACTGTAGTGGGAGACTTTTTATGGCACCCAGAAGATGTTTGGCACTGTAGCAGTATATATCAGCAGCACTCTGCTGAATATTCTTGTACACAGATATATGTTTATGCCACTCACTGCAGCATGGCAGTACGTAAAGGATACATTTTACTTAAAGACAGAACAAATGCACAGAAGTCTGAGCAGGATGTTGGTGGTGAGCGCAAGTCGGAGCAGCTGGCCCCCTGGGAACACTGCTTGGGAATGGCTCTCTGCAAAGGCATGAGGAGATGCCATCAGGCTGCTGCCCTTAGGTCAGCACAGCCAGGTGGGAAATGCCTGCGTGCAGGAACCTGAATGGATGGATCAACTCTTCCCAGCCGCCACACAGTCTGCAGAAAGAAAGGAGTCAATTGCAACTGGTTTCCAGCAGACTGTGGCCAGACAACTCGCCCCGGGGGGCAGCGGAGAGCTGGGGAAGGAAGAACTGCTATATTTCCATCATGTGCTGCAGAGTGCTGCAGCTATGCAGGGCCCTTTGCAGAGGATGCTTTATTAAGTTACAAGTTAGTAATTAATGCCAAGTTCCTCTCTTTATTTTCTCTGTGGTTGAGTTTCATAAGGGAAATTAAAGAAATGAGATGGAGAGGAAGCAGATTGCCACTTGAAATACAGCTCCCTGGTGCTCCGCTCATGACTTTAGAGACATTTGTCCGGTCTCTTCTCCCTTTATGGAGATGTAGGTCAAATGCTGCTGAAAGACTCGTTTGTTTTGGAGCAGATGTGCTCGATCCAGTGGTCAAAATGCAGCATGGCAGAAAAGGTCAGGGAAAGAGTGAAGGACACCCAATGTGTGTACGTGTGCCTCATTCATAGCAGAGCTACCATCAGGTCACCCCATGTCCACCACCACTGCACCCCCTTTGCCAGGCTGGGAACCCACCACCTCCCTCATGTCCTGGTTTGTTTTGGAAACTGTGGTGCAGACTGAGAAATCCTTCCAGAACAGTGGGGTGTATTCAACTGAACCCCCCAAAAAACAATAACTTTTCTTTCTGAGCTGCACTAGAACAGAATCACAAAATACCACCTGTTGTCTGGAGTACATCCCAAGACTGCATATGTCCTAAAATAGATTGTGTTTTCCTCTTCCACTTCTGCTTTCATTAGCCCCAGGCTTTGACATTCTGTTCAGAGATATTTTCTGTATAGAATGCATTAAGATAACATATATCTCAAATCAAACATCTCTTCATTCAGCATATTTCCTATTTAAATTTCTCCTGTACATTTAGCCTGTACCTATCTAAGGAATGGCTTTTTTATTTGTATCAGTTGGCTCATGATAACTGGTTTTGCAAAAGAGCAAAAGAAAAGAATGCTTGAAGAGAAAGGAGAAAAGAGAAAATCCTTTGCTTGCACAGCCTTGTTTCAATTCAGTGTTCCTTCGGTCTCCTGAAGTTCGTTGATTGGGATAATATTAATGATGTTGAATAGTTTGTTTTCATTTCACAAATGTGAATCAGGATTAGTGCAGAAAGATAGAATGTATTCATCATTAGAATTTGCCTTACACATTCATTTATTTTTTAATCTATAATTCTTATTGAAGTAAAAAAAAACTCTCAGGGATATGTATTACCACAGAAAACAAAAAGAGCCCTGATAGATGGAAAAAGTTCAGCAAAGAATTTTCCACATTGCTAAAACACAAACTTAGGAAGCCACTTCTTGCTAATGCTGAAAAGCATTGTTTTCCCAGACTGGGGGAAGATGCTGGGAGGTTACTCGCATGCTGAATGTCTTCAGAACACCTGACTAGGCTACAGATTCGAGTGCGCTGCAGCCATTGATTAGAGCTGCTGATTTACAGCATGGGGTAGCTCTTTTAATTCTCTTGCAAACAGATACAAGCTCCCTAGCTCTTTGGGCTCTCCCTGAGCTGGAAACTGGTTAATTTTGTGACCACGCTGGGCTTGTTAGATCAGACATGATGCAATACTGATGTAGCTGTACAGCCTCCAGTTTGCCAGTGGCTCACGTCTATCAGAGCTGAAAGAGCTCGGCTTGTTGTTGCAAAACACATAGCTGTGTCTTGAGCCCAAGTTCTTGTTGGGACAACTTTGCATCTCCTCGAGTTTGACACGCTCATAACATGTCGCATCCTGTTTAGGGCTCTCAAATGAGCAGTGTTCACATGGTAAATTCCATCTCTCTATTGATGCTGTTTGTTTCTGATGGTCATTAAACAAGGCTATGTCTGGTTTCTCTGTCTCTCTTTGCCTCCCACTCCTCCTCTCCAGGTCTCATATGTTAGATTCATACACTGTTGCAGATTGCTTTTTGCAAGCAGCATGCATCTGCCCTTTCAGTCTTTCTCTCCAACCAACATAACAAGTGTAAAGCTGGGCCCTATGAGCTCTGGGGGGTCACAGGACCATGCAGCTGCAGGAGTCCATCCAATCAAGTAACATCTTTTACCCTCATAATTACAATTTCCCACTTTAACAAAACACCCTGCTGCCAAACTCCAGTGATAATGAGTCTGTCAGTGCATCAGCGCACTCCCAACTGTATCTAGAAATGATTTTTTTTTTTTGCAAGGCAAATGAAGACACTGATGATTAGCAAGAAACGAACCAATGATTCAATACATCACTGGCCACACATACCAAATCATTGATTTTCCATCCTGCTGGGCAGCAGCTGTTCCATTTGCTCAGCAGAAATGTTTTCTTTCTCTGGAAGGAGCTAGAAGGATGGACGTTTCTCCCAAACAGGAGGCAGCAGAAGGTTGTTTGCTACACTGGGCCTATTTGTGGGGTCCTGTACGTTGATGGGGTCCTTCTGAAGCTGCTGAGAACTCTAACAGGCTTTCTGCTGTTAAACTCTGGAAATACTTTTGAATGCCTGTGAATGCAATGATTGGTAGATGGAAAAAAATCTCCTAGGAGAATCTATATGAAATTGCAGGACAAAAAAAAAATGCTGCCCTAAGACTCACAATCACTGAAAGAATTAGAAGTTAATCATTGATATCCCCATGTACCTTCTTTCTGTATATCAGCTACATGTAATCAGTCTCCTTGCAGATCATCTAGTCTCAGCACTGTTGCTATTTTCGTATTCCTCACCTTGTCTAGACTGAAATGGGACGTGGTCTCCCTGCATTTCTGAGTAAAACGCACACCCCTGAGTCTATGGGACTGCAATCTGCTGTGGGATATCTGCAACGAGATAATCCTGACATTTTGTCTTCTCCTGTTCCAAGGTACCTACGTGATGACAGTGACTGCGAATGACGCTGATGACAGCACCACGGCGAACGGGATGGTGAGATACCGAATCGTGACTCAGACCCCCCAGAGCCCATCGCAGAACATGTTCACCATTAACAGTGAGACAGGAGATATCGTCACCGTGGCTGCTGGCCTCGACAGGGAGGTGAGTTTGAACACCGCCACACCGAGTTCCCAGTTGTATCTCGAATTCAAACCCTACAGAAGTTGGAGTTGCAGTGTGGAGTTCACAGTCTTTGCTTCTGCAGTGACTGTGGTGCGTGGTGGCTTTGGTTGTCTTAATCCATAGTGGTCGATGAAACTCTGGGAGAGTCTTCCAACTCAGGGTCTGGTATTTACCTTGTGTAACAGTGCACCACTCAAAGATGTAGAAAATCCAGAAGGAACAGAGAGATGAATAAATTGGCATTTATCCTCCTTCTGTCATGGAAAAGATAAAGTGGTATATGTCTATAGCCCTTTCTAGACCTATCTTGCTTAACTCTGTTTATATTATCTTTGGAAGCAGTTACACAGCCTGTATTCCACACACTTGGCATGTTTCATGATGGCATTCTTGTATCATTTCCAGATTAGGAAAATGTCTTCTGGTGTGTGTTATCAACCTCGTGATTTTGGTTTTGTGTGCAACTCTGTTTTTAATACCTCATCTTCTTGGCATTTTACAAGGTACGGCTTCTCCAAATATAGAAAAAATATCATTTCAAAGGACAGAAACATGCTCTGTTAGTATGAGCTATGTAATATGATTCTTATAGCTCTGCCTTCTTTGATTCTGAGCATAACTCAAGGGGAAAGCATTGAATATTAAACATTTAACAAAAATCAGCATAGCATCAGTGGTGTGTTGGAGTGACCGTGAAGGAGGAGGCATCAGTCTGTGGGTGTGAAGTGAAGGGAAAATTTAAATTCTGCCTTTTTTTTCCCACTTGGATTGTATACTTTCTGGAGGGTCACCTGTCCACCACAATTGGGAGGTTTTTTTTTGGTCAACTTGTAAGTGATAGGAGGGTCATTTGTTCATTGAAGGGATCGCCACTGATAGTATGCTGATGCAGCCAATGTAGCCTTGTGTAGCCTTCAGCTCAGGTGTTTGAGTTCAGGCAGTCCCCACAGACAAGAAGTCTGTCAAAATCCATTTTTTTGAGAGTGTCGGGTACATTTCTGAGAGAAGGGATCAGAAATTGGGTTTGTTCTTCCATTCTCTCCTTTCCTCTCTCACAACTGATAGCAGGGACTGAGTGAGTGCACAAGGGTGCCCTGCTGCTGACACCAGCCGGGGGAGATGACACCCTCCACCACATTGGGCATTTATTTCCTGCCAGATCAGCCCCATCAACCCTACTGCAGTGCTGTGACAGGTGATGGCTGTTGTGCATTGCTGTGCACATCATTAATGTTGTGTAAATAAGCGTTCATCAGCATTCAGTGAACAATCTTCACAAACTTCACTTACATCAGCACAGAGAACTCAATGACTCGTGCCTCTTTCCTTGGCTGCTTAGGGTTGCTTTGTGGCTTTGGGGGTGCATGAAGGGTACAGAGCAATGGGGGTGGCCCTTGAGAGGACAGCAGCAGGAGACCCAGAGGAAGAATCTGAGTTCTGGCAGAAAAATGGCTGTATGGGAATGACAGAACATTTATTGTCCCTCTGACATCAGCAGGGGCAAGCACTTTAATGTAGGGCTTTACAGATAAAGAAAGGTCGTAGGTTTATATTAATTTTAGAGACATGGATTGTGATAGCAGGTTGAGAGGTTTTAATCTCAGGAAATCAGCTGGAAAAAAAGAGGCAGGTGATAAATAGGGGAAAGGGTAAGCCACAACGATGATATTTTTTCAGATTTATCTCCTTGCATCTGAAAGATATTAAAACTTACAAGGCAACCGTATGCTTCATGTTCGTCCCCTGTTGCACCAGGTCTGGGAAATGACAACAAGGTGGCACTTTGTGTATGGAAATCTGAGTGCTGAGCATCCCACAGCTGATAGCAGGGTGAGCAAGGGACAGTGGGAACGAGTAGAACAAGCTGCTGTGGGCACAGTCCTGGGGCTGCCCTGCAGCTATGGGGCATGCTCGTTCCCAGTGCTCTCTGCTGCCTTTCAGGCTTACATCTGGAATCAACGGAAGGTTTCTATTTTATTAACATAAAATTATATTAGGTCTAAATTGAAAAATGTGTCTAAGTTCTCCCATGACTGTATCGCAGATTGGTTTTTTGTTTTTGTTTGTTTTTCCTCAAATCTTGAGCAAGCTATTAGGAATAAATTTGGTTTAGCTACTGACATTTTCTTGTTATTAGGAAAAGGAGCCGAAGAGCGGTATTTGGAATGCAGCTTTGTGTAAATTAAAATGTTAACAAATCTGACCTATTCAGCAGAAACTACTACAGCCAAGATAAATTCCCTGGATACCAGTTGTTTCTCCAAATGCTTATTGACACGTTTATCAGGGCCTATAACACTGTTATTTTAAGCTGTGTTGAAAGACAACCAAGCTTGCAGTCTCAGTCCAATCCTTCCACTTTGCTACTGCAGTGCAGAGGTGCCTTGAAGCAGATGTGAAAGTAACTGTCAGAGCTGTGTGCCTTCGGAGGAACGGCTCCATATTCCAGATCCAACCTTTGTTTTTCAAAAGGGAGAAAGGTTGCTTCAAAGCTGGTGTTTCTAGCTCAGCATCTCTTCTGTGTGCTCTCTAGCCTAGTGCTCTCAGCATCTCCACTTAAGGATTTGTTATTTATTGGTTTCTTCCATTATGTTCAATTCAGGAAATGTCCAAGAGGCTGGACTGTGCTTTCTGTCTTGCTTTGTGTTGTGAGATGTGTTTCTGTTAACCTACAAGAATCCTACTTAAAGACAAATTCGTGTTGTTTACTGCTGTTTCTAAACCCTCATTTCCACAAACCAAGGGAGGAAATTAAAAACTCAGCCTCTAAAATTGTGCTGATCCCTCTAAATGTGTCTGACATGCAGTATAGCTGAGGTATTAAAATATTGATGGCTTTAAATTTATCTTACCTGGTTCCCATTCATCTGAATGTAAATACGGTTACAATGCTCTGTGTCCATCCGCTCATTACCACCGAATGGATCCCCAAGGAAGATAAAGATAATTGGGCTGCACTTCATAAAAATTATTAAAGGAGGACAGGTTGGCAATAGTCTCATTTAAGCTCCCGGATACCTGAGGGTGAAAAATGCCAAAGGTGGAACAAAGAAACGTCTACCTCTGAACTAATAGGGAAAATGATAGGGATTTAGTGTATGCCAGAGGTTCAAATGTACATTCAAGCAACCGGGTTGAGATGAGAATGTTAAAAGCAGATACTTGCTCAAATACAGGAAATGTCAAGAAAATGTATTACATTTGTAGCTGATTTAGGAAACTTAGGGGGGAAAGATGAAATCATGATTGGAGTACAAAATTAAAAGGGACGGCCGTGAACATAGGAGATGAACAGGTTGTAACAAAGTTCAGCGGTGGAGGGAACCATGTTATTTTCTTTAATTTATGGCAGGCTGCTGCAGAAATGGGTGGTGCTACAAGGAACTGCTAACCCAGTGATAGCTCAATTGAGCAGTTTATCTGAACTCCAGACGTCATTGCTCTTTTTTTCTCCACTCAGAAGAAAACAAGAGGTAAAAAAGGGTTGGCTGTCCCCAGCTGGGGCTCAGAAACAGTCAGAACATCGGTATTGCTCTTTTCAGTTCTGGAAAGAAGCATTTCTCCTTGTAACAATGGCAAAGGGACCAGAGCTGTTCTGAGTGTTCGCTCTGTTTGCCCATCCCTGCTCTTGCTGGGGTCTGGCAGCCACCTGTGAGCTCCCGGTCCAGTGATGCAGCTCCGTCAGCTCTTCTGATTTCTCTGGGGGCAGAATATCTGTTCCAGTAGCACCGCAGACCTGCACTGGGGCTATAGAACATGCAACATCATCTCTAAAGAGCTCCCATTAAATATTTTATGAACACAGACTTCAAGCAAGCAAGGAAAAAAGAAAAGGAAGAAAAAGATATGAGAGAAAAGGGGCTGGTTGATTCCATGTTTTGTTGGCAGGCCAATAAACGTCGAGATATCTCAAATGTCATCCAGGCTTATTTGAGATAATAAGTGCTTCGGCTCTGCGGTGCTTGTAGCATAATGTTGCTAACTTTCTGAGCCTTCCTTTGAAAGGAGACCCTTCCCAGCGTGTTCATCTGGTGCTAAAGGAATGAAGGCAGTCAGGAGCTCTGTGCTGCTTCCTCAGAATTTCTGAATGTTTATACTTCTTTTAAAAGTGATCGGAGCTCTGCTGCTGCAAATGTTTTTAAAAATACATGAAATCCAATTCTATGATTACTACACTTGGCTTTCCGAAAATGTGATGTTGCTAGCCTTCCTTAAGTGAGCGGAAGATAAAAGGGAGCTCTTGCCAGGAACTGAGTTAGTGCCTTATTTTATTTATGGATGAAGCGGCAGGATTTGGATGGGGAAGAGGGAAAGTTCTTTTTGTTGGTACAGACTGTTGATTTCTTTTCCAACACTGTAGTCTTAGAGCAAATACACATTTGTGTTAGAGCAGAATTCTGAAACATTATGTTAAAGAGAAAAAAAAATTGTGGTACCCTGCCCCTACAAAGGATGATTGGTTTCACCATCTGTAGGAACTATTTCTTCTAGGAAACAGCAGTCAGGCATCAGCATGGGGGGTCCCTGGACACATTCAAGAAAAGAGTAGATGTCACTTAGTGGCATGGTAGGATGGTTGGACTATGTGATCCTAGCAGTCTTTTCAACCTAAATGACTCCATGATATCTCCAGGTCATTGCTTGTACCTTTTCAAAATTTCCCTGTTGACTTTATTTCAGATGTTGACTGAGAGTGAACAAGGTGATGGGAATTCATTTAATAGCATTTTGGTAGCTACAATTTGTCCTTTGTGGAATATTCCATAGGCAGCATCCCACTGGTTTGAGATTGCCCAAATACAACATTTCTAAGTAGGGTTTGTCCCTTCCAACCACCCAATACACCAACTGCAGCAAGCGGGTAAGACAGAGCCTTGCTTGCTGCACCAGGAAGCTTTTCTCTGGCCGGACAACCCATTTCTATGAACTTGGACCACAAACCCCCATAGCTGGCTTCCAGACTTGCAGGCACTGAAGGT